AAGCAAAGCTGGTGGCATCACAATTCCGGACTTCAAGCTCTATTACAAAGCTATAATCATCAAGACAGGATGGTACTGGCACAGAGACAGACACACAGATCAATGGAACAGAATAGAGAGCCCAGAAACGGACCCTCAACTCTTTGGTCAACTAATCTTTGGTTTTGTCCTATTCTTTCATCTCAGATATATTCCTCTGTTTCCTCATTTTGTCTAACTGTCTGTGTCTCTTTCTTTGTGTAGGAAGGTCAGCTATGTCTCCTGCTCTTGACGGTAATGGCCTTATGAAGAAGAGGTGCTATGTGCCCTGCAGTGCTGTGTCCCCTGTTCCCCAGGACCTGACACTTTAGGAGGTATCTTCTATGTGTGTTGTGTTTCTCCTGCTGTTGTGTCCTGGCCCCTTTTTCCTTCAGTCCAGTCATCTGCAGAGGCTGTCTTTGCCTGTTGTGGGCAGTGTTTGGTCCCTGGCTGGGGTGGTGTGCGTGGTTTGAACAAGGGGTTTGCTGGGCTGCTTGTGAAATGAGAGCTGCTGCTGTAGCCAGGACTGGAACTGTGTGGGCTGGGCATGAGTTTTAACATGGTGCACCTCAGGCTTCTATGGGGCCTGCTCCCACCCTGCCACCCCTGGACCAAGGTCCCACAAAATGCAGGGGTGGGAGACACAGTTTTTGGCCAGGTTTATGCAGGTCTTCTAGGGGAGGGGACCTGCAGCTCTGGGACTGAGGCAAGGGACACTGGAAAGGGTGGATCTGCCGAAGAGGGGATGGAGCTTGGTATAAGCCAGTTAGGTAGTAAGTATCCACACTGGGCTGGTTCATTCCCATAGGTGCTTATGCTGAGGGCCGGGGGAGGGAAGTAGCATCCGATAGCTCCTCTGTTCCTGCAGGGGTCTCCCGGGTATCCCTGCCCTGGGGACATGCTCTGAGATGAGTACAAATCTCTATCTCCCATATGCCTCAGGCATTTTTCAAGTTGCTGCTTTTATCCTGGGTCACCAGGGGCTGTTTATCATGCTGTCTCTTTAAGGTCAGGGACTCACCTTCCTAATGCCTCCCAGAGCCCAGCCCTCTGATTTTTAAAATTCCAGGCTTTAGGATCTACTGGTTGTAAGAAATGATTAAATTTGGCCCCTCTTGCTTCCAAAGCCAAATGTTATGATGATTTGTCTTCCCAGTGCGGGCTCCCAGTGTAATGGTCTTTTATCTCTCCTCTCCGTGCCCCTGGCTCTCTCCTGGCTGCAGACAGCTGGGGCCCTTTTAGCTCCCCATTGTGTCTCCACCCTTCCTACCCTCTTCCATGTGGCCTCTTCTCTACCTTTAGTTGTGGAGTTTGTTCTGCCAGTCTTCAGGTTGTATTCTGGGTTATTTACGCTGATGTGTTATCTAGTTGTATGTATGGGACGAGGTGACTTTCAAGTCTTCCTACTCTGCCATCTTCCCAGCCTCCCTCTAGAACATGTAGTTTTTATATTATAGTTTTTATTCTTCAGGTCTTAGAATATTCTGTTAAATTTATCTCTAAGCATTTCACATTTTTTGTGCTATTGTAAATGGTAAATTTTTTTATTACTTTTAAATTGATTGTTGCTAGCATATAGAAATGTAATTGGTTTTTGTGTTTTGACCTTGTATACTGTGACGTTGCTGCACAAGTCATCAGTTCTGGTGGCTATTTTTAAGATTCCTTTGGATTGTCTATATACTTAATCATCTGTGAATTAAGTTATATGCCTTCATTTTTAACATTTATGCCTTTATTTTATTGCCTGTTTCACTGGCTAGGATCTCTAAAACAATGTTGACTGGAAGTGGTGAGAGCAAACATCACTTTATTTCACCCTGATTGTAGGACGAACGGGTTTGATATTGTGGCGTTTTATGTAGATTGTTTCATAGATGCCCCTAATCATATTGAGAAGATTTCTTTCTATTTCTAGTTTGAAGAAAATTTTATTTTTAAATCATGAGTGGATATTGAATTTCATGAAATGCTTCTGGTGTTTTTCATCTTTTGAGATGATTACATGATTTCCTCCTTTATCTTTTTTTTTTTTTTTAAGATTTTATTTATTTATTTGACAGAGAGAGACACAGTGAGAGAGGGAACACAAGCAGGGAGAGTGGGAGAGGGAGAAGCAGGCTTCCCGTGGAGCAGAGAGCCTGATGTGGGGCTCGATCCCAGGACCCTGGGATCATGACCTGAGCCGAAGGCAGACGCTTAACGACTGAGCCACCCAGGCGCCCCTCCTCCTTTATCTTTAATGTGGTAAATTATAGTTATTGTTTCTACCAACAGTCATCTAGTCTTATTTTCCCAGAATAAATCCCACTTCATCATGATTTATCCTTATGTCTTATTGGATATTTTTAAATTAAAATTTAGTATTTCCCTCTATTATGATTGTAGGCAATAAACCATAATAATATTAGCAATACTTGTGGTATATTCACCAGTAAAAATGAGATATTTTCATATCTTATTACAGTTGCAAATATCTTGGATATTTATACTCACTATTGCTTTGATATTATAGATGGTGGTTATTAGGCCCTCTGCTATATCACATTACTTAATTAGTTAAAAAAGGAGTACCTTTTATTGCAATATAATAAATATTTTTTATATTTGATAATTGAGTTTCAATACAATTTTTTTTTGTAATACTCTGTATTTTATTTTATACATTTAAAAATGTTATCCTGTGAATGGCTTTAACAGACTGCCAAAGAGGTTCAAGGAACCAAAGTTTAAGAATCCCTGAAATAGAACTAAAAATGTCAAAGTCTTTATCTTAAAACATTTGGGACTAGGTGGGATCATCTAGAGATGTACACAGAGAGGATTAGAGAGTGGAGGACAGAATCCTATGCTATGGAAATGAAATTTCAAAATTATGTATTCGCCTTGTCTTCAACATCTGGTATAGTTTTCTTCCTTTTAAATTTTTTTATTGTGGTAAAATACATACACCATAAAATTTACCATTTTAACCATTTTAAATGTATAGTTTAATGGTATTAAGTGCATTTACATCACTGTGCAAACATCACCATGATTCATCTCCAGAACTCTTTACAACTTGCGTAACTGAGACTCTATACCCATTCCTTCCTTCTTCAGCCCCCAGTGTAGCTTTCAAGTAATTATTCCTAAAAATAAACAAGATAAACTGGTACAAAGGTTGCATAATCAAATAAACAAAAATTGTCCATTTTTACCCTTGCCCTGTGGACATCTGGCTATGTTATTTTGTTATATTTGGATTTGGAGATTGGATCCTAACTCTTTTTTTTAGATCCTAACTCTTTTCAGTTTATGAATTTGCTTTCTCTTCTAGAGTCAAGTTGCCTACAAATTGTTATTGTTGGTGGCAGTAGTGGTGGTGGTTGGTGCATATATTTTGGTCTTCTATACATTGGTAAATAGGCCTGAAGAAATGCCCCAGGGAGTGCTCCCTCACTGTGCTGAGATCCTTTGTAATGAGAATCATACAAGCTTGAGGTACTTAGAAAGCCAACACTTATAAGTTGGCTTTGGGAGGAATGCCTCAAGGATTGCTGGCCTCCTAGCAGGTATCATAAACTCTAACGAAGGAAGAAGCATCAGCTTGCTTGAAAGCAGTGTCATCATTTTATTCTCTTCATGTCCCTGGAGGCACTTTGCACATGCCTGGCCTATGCTCAATGTTCAGAAGCATGTTCTTTAAGTCAAAATGAATTAAATACACACTAGGAACCGTAACTATTAGCTCTTTGGAAAAGCATGATAACTTTCTCAGATTTATTTTGTATTTCCTTATAGCAGTAATACTCAAAACTCGTAAAACAAGAGGATTTGTATACTAGTCCCTAGAAATAGCAAGAGAACAGTGAAACTGCATTTCACTCTTAGACAGTCTTGAATGAAGAAGAATATCAAGGAAGAAGTGAATGGTGGTAGAGTTTAAATTGGTAAGTCAAGAAGATGAAAAAATATAGGAAACTAGTAAGATTAGAGAGGTTGCTAAGAACATATCCTCTAACTGCTCTTATTCATACCATGGTAAATATGTTCAAGGTGCAGGGCCTTAGCCCTAGAGTCAGCCACTAGAAATCTCCCTCAAAGTAAGAGGCTGATCCATTAATCAATCCTCTTCGAGTGGGCCTCCTTAACCTTATTCCTAAAGTTATCAGACCTTGTGAAATAACCTGCTATTGTCCAGATTTGACATGTTTGTTTTTTTTTTTTAAAGATTTTATTTATTTATTTGACAGAGAGAGAGCATAAGTAGGCAGAGTGGTAGGCAGAGGGAGAGGGAGAAGCAGGCTCTCTGCCGAGCGGGAGCCGGATGTGGGGCTTGATCCCAGGACCCCAGGATCATGACCCGAGCCGAAGTCAGCCGCTTAACCGACTGAGCCACCCAGGTGCCCCCAGATTTGACATGTTTTTGACATGTGTCTGCATATTCCATTTTACAATTTTAATTGGTATATTTAGAAATCTTTACCCAACAATTAGTGAGTATAAATGGTCGATTCTTGTTATTGGTGGTTGTTATGGTCTATAATGTTGCAGCAGCACTTTTTTTCTTTTACCATTTTTAAAAAAAGTTATTGAAATATAATTTACATACAGTGTTATATTAGTTTCAGGTATGCAACATATTGATTTGACAATTCTGTACGTTATTCAGTGATTACCACTATAAGTGTTGTCATCATCTGTCACCATAAAATGTTATTACAGTATTATTGATTATATTCCCTATGCTGTATTTGTATCTCTATGATTTACTTATGTTATAACTGGAAGTTTGTATCTATTAATCCCCTTTATCTATTTTGTCCGCCCCTACCCACCTCCCCTCAACAACACGTAGTGAATACCGAATCATTGCTCCAGGGAGAAATACGAGGATAAGTTCCTGTAAGCTTCCGATCATGACATTTTTATCAACTGATCAACAATACGTAAGCTCATTTTATGTGTATTCTGTTTAAAGACACCTTATTTAATATAAACTGTTGATTTATTAACACTGAGCTTAATGCCAAAAGCACTGTAGCTCATACTTGAGTTACACTCTGGGACACCAGAGAGCATTTGGGCACTATGGTTGGAGGCCATTTCAGATAGAAAAATCACCATAAGAAAGCACAAAAATGCAAAAATGTGACACTAAATAGATTCTAAAAAGGATACCTATTTAGTATATGAGAGCTGAAACAAAAAGGCTGGCTATCACCTTGTTTGACCTCATTTGAGAACGTGCACATTGGGCAATTCAAAGTTTTCACTGCTATGTGAGTATCCACAAATGACTGCAAAAGCACCATGAGTATTGATTTTGGCATTTCACATAAATTTTAGTGAG